TGTTCTCCCGAACATCCGTCCGTCGACCGCACGTGCAGGCAACACGCGCAAAGTGCACCGGATTTACCATTTACATAATGTATGCGCGATGCACTCGGCGACCGCTGTCGATGGACGCGCGTTATCATCGCTTATCATCAAAAACGCATCGATCTACACGACCTGTGTACACATTACGTAATATCGTGGTAAAATGTTTACCGGCCGACGGAACAAGTGTAAATAATGATTTACGTGTATTATGAACGAGCACGGAAACACGTGTACTTGTTTATACGGACGGGACGGGATGTCGTCCTGTCATTTTACGTCGATTTACGTCGCTTTTTTATCATCGGTTTCGGGTCGATAATATATTTATATGTATGTATGATATGTATGATATGTAACTTGAACACATTTTGGGTGTAACTTTTACAATACAACTGTAATTCCGTGCATAATAATTAATAATAACAACAACATATTACCACGGCGATGTGTTTATTTATTACCGAACCGTTTAATATCGTTACACGTGTAAAAACATGTTATCTTCATTTTAACCCTGTGTATTAAAAATTATGATTATTATTAGGTTTTTTTTTTTTGTTCTTCCACGTACATGTTTTCGAGTACCCGGGGGCAAACGGACGGGCGGGCGCTTTACATTGTAGATTAAAATCTAAATTGGTCGATCGACGTGAATATGATTGCGGATGATTTGTTGCCGGTAAATCCGTAAGCTATTCGAAAAAATATTACATGTATTCTGCGAGTAGAGAGTGAGCACATTAACCTCAAATGATCCGGATACCTATAGTTTATCAATAAGAGTGGTACGAGCACCTATATTGAAAGTAAATACAACATTTTTTTCAAATTTAACCGTACGCGGGAAGAGAATATTTTTCCCTATTTCGATGACTTTATTTGTTTTTAATTAATCACATACAACAATATACTTGTGAACGTTAGTGTTTTTATTATCATTAGTACGAGGAACGTCCAACGCGCAAAGGCTAATATAGCACGTCGTTAAATTGCTGTAAAAAACAAATCTGCCACAGAACCATTGAACACTAATGGCGTACAATTTAAAGCTTGATTTGAACAATTCAAAACTTAGAACAAAATCGATATTATAAGTTTCGACCAGCCGCACACTAAAGTTAAGAGAGTTGGAATGATTCGATGGGCTATTTATAACAGTATTGAAAATAAAAACGGTTTGTCTTCAAGATTAATGGCTAATAGAAAAAAACATAAAAACCTTACGGTTATTATACTTTATGCTAGATAAATATTTTTCTTAGAGATGTGGGCATAATAGTTATGAGTTTTCAATTGCACAAACCGGAGTTATAAATCAAAAACGTAGTTTTAGTTGCGATTGGTTTTTAGTTCACTAACTGGGCTTCCGTCGCAGCAGTCCACGGGCGCTATATTCCGAAAACGTATTACATAAATAGCGGACGGATATAGTGCAATAAATTTGACTAACGTTATTAACTTCTGTGGTACAGGTATCTTAATTATTTTCGTAATATACTTGAGGGCTAAGTTTAATATCTACTAAGTTATAATTTGCCGGGGGACGTCGGACATAGTACAGCTCGCTTATAATAATAATACCGTATAGAAAAAATTCCGAACGACCCGGTTACACGAATTACTTTACCACTACGATGTTTTAAATGTTAGGTACACCACGTCAAAAGCAATCCATTATTTGACGCTATTACGTACACGATAGTAATTTAATTGTCGATTTCTATTGATTTGTTACGGTTTTCTTCCCCTCATTTATTTTTTGTAATAAACAATCATCAAACATCATCGTTAATTTGCACGGTATACATATCGTGACCATGGATATCTTTAAAACAGTTTGAAAATATTCGCCTGATGTTTTATGATGAGATTTCCTGAAAAATTCTACGGATTCTTCTATCGCACAGTTATATAGCACGGTGCAGGATCTAGTGTTCCGGTAAATCAATAAAGATTATATATAAATGTATGTAATACATACATGATATGATAATTTATATTAATATTTATATTTATATAATTTACATACTTTACATGGATTGATAAAATAAAACATGAAAAAAATTATTGGAAAAATTATTTATTTTAAATTATTTAAATTACTCTTAAAATCAGTATAAGGAAATATTTTTGTCATGGAAATAATTTCAAATATAACCAAACTAATCTACGAAGTCATTCAACTTGTATTTTTACTAATAACACATATTTTTTTTATTCATCTATGATCGATTTAACACGATATATACGTATCAAAAAAATTACAATTCTAAAACGGGCGCAATCATTTTGCAGCAAATGTCACACTATTGTGTCGTGCTTGCGTCCAATAAATTTGCGAATTCGTGAGATGTGCAACAAAAAAAAAAACAGAAATAAAACAAGTTAAAAAATCCCACTCCGCCAACGTGCCGAATTACAAGTTTCTTAACGTATTTTAAGCAAAAAACTATTATCCAATGTAAGATTTAAAAAAAAAATTGGTAACTTGATAAATATAGATGTATGTGGGAACCTAAATAAATTAAATATCTCAATTTTTAAACAAAGTATTCATAATTTGATAAGTGTTTTTTAATATTAGCCGGTATAAATTTATATTAAACAATCGTATTTTAATACATGAATATTGTTAAATATCTTATCTGGAATCGCAATTGCGTACTGATATGACTAGTGACACCGAATGCATATGCACATATTGGAGCAAAGGCTTAAATGCCTAAAAATATAAATAAAAAAAAGATTCGATTGCATAAATATTAAGTTAAGTTGACTAAGTATAGAAACTTGAATTATATAATTGTACATCATTATATGATTTATGAATTTAGATATTGATGGTTTTTGCGATAAAATGGTCTATGTACGGATGGAAGATAAATAGATGGGTGTAAATAATCAAATTACGCTCCATTTAAATGTATAAGATTTGGTACCAATATTGGTAATCCGCGAACGATCGAACATAAAAACGGTGGTACAAGGTATTGGAAGCTTAGAAACCTGAAATGTCCGAGACAATCATACGACGGGTGAGACACGAGTATATCGCGCAGGTATACAGCGAGATCTCGCATTTTCGTGCAGCGTAAATCATACACAAATCACGCGTTACGCTTGTTTGGTTTGAGGCGATATCGAAAAGTAAAAAAAAAAAAAAAAAATCGTACCTTTTATTATAATATTAACACCGCGACTGCAATATTGTACGTTATGGTACAGGTACGCGAGGTGAGATATTATACTACACAGTGTACAGTGTTATATAGTAAATAATATATGGTATATAGTATATGGCAGCCGACGACGTCGTCACATGAGATGGACGACGTGATCGACTCCTTCCGACGACGACGTTTCGTGGCTGATGGCTAAAACAAATTTTGTACTCCACACTTGGGTGAAAACCGATTATTTATACAGTGTTCATGCCCCTCGGCGAGTTCGGTCGGGCGTTCGATGTTTCAAAATCCCCGCGAACAATATTAGTACCGGTATGCGTGTATAAACGATGATATGGCACGCAACGAAGACGGAATGAGAGAGAGAAAGAGAGAGACCGTTCTAAAATGATAATAATAATAATAATACGAGAAGAAAAGAAACGAAATAGTAGTTTTCGAGCATAAATCACGAAACTCCGAGGTGACGGGTGATTCGAAATAGCAACTATTGGGTAATAATAATTCAACAACATCGGTATATAATAATAATAGTAATAACCTTTACGGTTTTACACCTCCGAGACGACGGACGAGATACAAAGAGGATTCGTTGTTATACGCACGTCCATAATATTATAATAACACTCGCAGTACGTACACATAATAACGATAATAATAATATATAACGACGGACGTCGTCCTGTATTTATTTACAGCCGATGACGTCTGATTATCATACTAAGCACCTAAGACCTCCTCTCGCCTACTTGCATGACGACGACGATAATAATAATAATATTAATATTATTATTATTATTATTATTATAAGTAGTAGTAGTAGTAGTAGTAGTAGTAGTAGTTGTTGTATATACAGTATTGTGATTATATTTTACCGTATAACAGTTCTAGCACAAGTGCAATATTGGTGGCCGTTGGCCAGGCACGAGCGTCACGTCCCGAATCGATTTCAGTGTTGTTGGTGTGAAAAAAATAAATAAAAATTTAACTTTTATGATAAATAGACTGTGCGTGTATACAATATGGCGTATAGTGTTATAGTGAGCGCTCAGCTCAAAATGTAAATATAAAAAAAACATGTCGGAACCGTTTATCACGTTATACTCTTAAAAATGTGTAGGTAATGTTGGCCGCGCGCGGATAATCTAAAGACAATATTATTATTATAACGATTATTATTTTTAATATTATTATTAATATCCCTGTCACACCTGTACAACGTCTTGACATTGCTGCGTAGTATTCTACAGCATTTCCTTAGTAATTAAAATACACGAACGCAGTGCATTTTTTTTAACTAGTTAACTAGGCTACACGAATGTCGTCTAACGAAAATATTTATTCACCTAGTCCAGGGGTCACCAAATGGCGGCCCGCGGGCCGCATCCGGCCCGCGAATGCATTTTAACCGGCCCGCAGACTGAGAGAAAATCCAATAATTTAATACGTATTTATTATCAAGCGAGACTGTTGCAGTCGAAATGTTGCAGGTAATTTCTTATCTTTGTACATTATTACTGCATTATTAGGTTTTTTCGGATGCAACAAATATTATACTAGCTGTGAAAAATATCTTATCTGTTTTATTATTTATTTGAAATTTTATTACGACAAGTCGACAACTCGTTAAGTCACATATATTAATATACGTACAACACGTCAGTCCGTCAGTTATCGGTGAGACGGTGGTGTCCGCTGCGACGTAATTTTTGTTCGTCCGTTCCGTTTTATTTATTAATTTTCGTAATTAAATAATATATTATTCTTTGTTTTAACTTGACTATGGATAGAAAAAGAAGAAAAATAGAAAATGAAAATAGACAGTTTTGTCCTGAATGGATGGACTTATATTGTTTTATTTTACCAGATAGAGTAGGTGCCTTACCTGTTTGTTTGATTTGTAATCAAACAGTGGCTGTTATGAAAGTATTTAATATCAAACGTCATTATGAGACACACAAGTCATTTGCCGAAAAATTCCCATTGGGTACTGGCCTTCGTAAAACAAAAATTGAAAATCTAAAAATTTTCCTAACTTGAAAAAAGTTGTTGATGAAAATCACGAGATTGATATCACAAATTTTACGAAGTTTTTGGAAAGTTTAAAAACTGAATTCGAAAGACGCTATGCTGATTTCAGAAAAATTAAAAACGTTGTACAATTATTGAACAGTAGTTTTACTTTGCAGCCTGATGGTGAATGGATTAACGAAGCAGAAAACGTTTTCAAATGCAACAGAGCACATCTTCAAATGGAAATAATTGAATTTCAATCAGATGATGTCCTAAAAAATTTGTATAATGAAAAGTATTCAAAAACTGAAATTGATTCTACATATGATGAATTTTGGTTGAAATATGTATCTGAAAAGAAATACCCGACGTTGAAATTATTGACAGTGAAAATGTGTACAATGTTTGGCTCCACATACGTCTGTGAGTCTGCTTTTTTAAAAATGAATTATATCAAAAACAAATTTCGATCCCGACTCACCAACGAACACCTTGAAATGATGATGAAGATAGCTACCACAAACCATAACCCCGACTTAAAGCAGCTAGTTGAAAGCAAGATCTGCCATTTTTCTCATTAAAAATATTAATTAATAATTGTTTCATATATTTATTTAATTTAATTATATTTTCATTAGTTTTAGTTACATAATAATTAATAAGTGTATATATTTTTTTTTTAGAAATAAAGTATTTTTGACCAACCGGCATATTATAATAAATATTATGTACTTTTGAATTTTTATGGCCCGCGAGAATTTTCCGAATTCTTAATGTGGCCCGCCGGAAATATTAATTGGTGACCCCTGACCTAGTCTATAGTATTTTGAAAGATTAGACGAAACATATTGAGTTGTCAAAAGAAGAATTTTTTTTTTAAATTATGTAAAATATAATATAATTAGGTAATGCACGGTCGATACATTTGTATACAAGCAATAAAACATACTGTCATATTATGGATGTTTACTTTTTCTACTGACATTAAGATTTATTTTTAATAATTATGCGTACTGAACGTAAAATATTACCATTAAAATATATTGCACATTGACTATTTTTAGAAAAAAATTGTTTGTCGTGCAGTGAAAATTCCTATAAAATCCATTGCATATATGTGTTTTTATCGCGTACTATATGCAACATCGTTGTGTACATATACTCAATAACAATTCAAACATCATTCACTCACTCGGTGATCGCTTCGTATCAAAAACGATAAAACGCCTGAACTTGAAATTTGTATAAGATACACTACTCTTGTACTCCAGACGAACAATAAGAAGTAATTTTCCAAAAACTCGGACGATTTTCATGTGATTGTTATTGATCACTTGGACTTGATCACTTTTTGCCGTTCTCGCAGTTATTATAACATCCCCGGTCGGTGGTCATCAAAACCACACACCGTTCATAACCGCACATTTTACATCGTTCAATACCGCAGACATTTATTCTATTGTTAAAAAGGAAAATTTGAATGGTTGATAGTTCAAAACCGAACACATTTAATTAACAGTTCTTTCTCCCTGCATACTTTGCATGTACGGTTTATCCTGTGACCTATTTGGGGTGGTGTTGCATAGCAAATCGGGGGGTATTTTCGTTTTTGACTGTCCGAGCGAGCGCAGCGAGCGAGTGACCCCACCCGGTCTCGCGGGAGCACTCATGTTATTTTAGATAAATGTATACGTTATTGATATATATATATCAATGTGTGCGGTATTAAACAGTTTAATTTGGCGGAAATATGTGCGATTAAGATATAAAAGTGTGCGGATTTGAACGACGACCTGTTTTTGAAAGTGTGCGGTTATGAACAACGCCCTCGCCGGAGAACCCGCTAATTTCGGTGTAGGTTCGTGTTTGACCCAGAATCTCAATAATCCACGCTGATTACAAGTAAACCTCATCGAAAACCCTTCTCTTGTAGGTCGTGAAAGCTCGAAGCGCGTCCTGTAGTGGTCCGATATTATTTACGCACTAATCATCAAACTCGCACAACAAGCACAGATTTTTTTTCTTTACTCGAAACTTTAACATGGCCACGACGAAAAGGTAACGGCGTACATTATACCTACACAAGATGACCGTACACCACCGAGACAAAACTCGATCCTGCCATATTAATTTAATTTTCCCCTGACCAAAACTCCGAAGTCCCGTGGCAGAAATGTCAGCACCGTAATGTGGCATGTAATTATTTTTCGTTGGGCTTTTATCATTTCCCCGCACGCCAAACGATTATACATAGTGTTCTATATTTATTTCCGAACAAGTATAATATTATGCTTATATTCACTGACTGCACACATCGGACTTTTAACTTTTGACATGCATGAATTACATGAATTACTTACTTTGTTTTTACTCGTTTTTCCTAGTTCGCGTGGCGTTTTATGACAAATGTTATGGGCTTTACCAAGGGCGTTTTCTGAAAATCGTACATTCTCACATTTCAGTGTACGTTTGTCGACTGCCGTGGTCCAGATTTTTTCAAACTGAACTGTTACTTTATTGATTTTTCATCTTCCCATAGCCTAAAAATAATCCCTTGTTTATTTTTCTACAATCCACGTGAACCCAGGGCCGGCTCAAGGTATAGGTGAGCTAGGCACTTGCCTAGAGCGGCACATTAGTAGGGGTGGCATTTTAAAAATTGATTCGTACATTTTTTTTTTTAGTTCTATCGATGTTTTATAAAAAAAGTATTTAAATTAATTCGTACATGAAAACCGCTTACCTACATAATAAAATAATATTGTCTAAAGCAGGTGGCCAAACGGTCGATCGCGGACAATTTCAAAGTCGATCATGTTAGAATTTATTTTTAGGGACACGCGCACGAATTGTTATCGAATTGTCGATAAGTTTTATCTGTTTAATTTTAATCTGGTTTCGTGTGTCAAATGTTTATCGATCACGAATGTTCATTTCACTGTGTTCTGTTGTTCTGTGTTCTGTTGGTGTCTGTTGTGTTTAAAATTTATAATTATGAGTGCACATAAAAAACAAAAAACTTATCATTTTCATCAAGAATGGGAAATGGATTTTTTTTTTTACAATGTTGAAAGACAAGTGTATATGTTTGATATGTCAAATAACAATATCCACTACAAAAAAAGGTAATCTAGAAAGACATTTTAGAACTACGCATTCGAAATTTGATATAGATTTCCCTCCTAAAACTGAAGTACGTAAAAAGCAATTGGAAAAATTAAAACTTGAAATTGATAAACAACAATTGATTTTTACTAAACCAGTTTTAAAATCCAAAGCAGCATTAATTGCTTCATTTCGAATTAGTCATGTTTTAGCTAAGAATAAAAAATCATTTCAAATCGGTGAAATAGTAAAACAAGCTTTTTTAGAAGACACAGATGCTTTATTTGAAAACTTTAAAAATAAACGATTTATAGTTATCTCGTAAAACTGTGACTAGAAGAGTAGAATCTATAAGACAAAATTTAGTTGAAATATTAAAATAAGACATCAAAGAATGTGTTTATTTTTCACTTCAATTCGATGAATTAACAGACATAACAGATACCGCTCAACTATGTATATTTATACGACTAGGTTTTTCAAATTTTAATTCAAAAGAAGAATTATTAACTATAATCCCTATGAAAAGTACGACACGAGGTGTGGATATTTATCAAGCTTTTATTAATTTTGTCAATAAATCAAATTTACCTTTGTATAAATTAGTTTGTATTACGACTGATGGGGCTCCAGCTATGATAGGTAAAAATAATGGTTTTATTGCTTTGTGTAAGAATGATAATAATTTTCCAAATTTTATGACGTTCCATTGTGTGATACATCAACAAGCATTGTGTGGAAAAAATATTAAATACAAGTAGTATAATGGACATTGCTTTTAAAATAGCCAATTCTATACGTTCACGAAGCTTGCAAAGGCGACTTTTTAAATTACAATTAGAAGAAAACGATTCTCAGCATTGTGATTTATTACTGCATACGAATGTTAGATGGTTGAGCCGTGGTAAATTTCTAGAAAGGTTTCAATGTTTACTTCATGAAATAATTGAGTTTTTAAAATCCAGAGGCGATAATTATAATTGTTTAACAAACAATACATGGCTTCAGAACTTAGCTTTTTTAACAGATATAACGGCTCATTTAAACACTTTAAATGTTGAACTTCAAGGAAAAGATGGGACAATAATTGAGTTATTGAGTTCTATAAATGGGTTTAAATCAAAATTGATATTACTCAAGTCACAATTAAATGAATCTAATTTGAATAATTTTCCAAACTTAAAAGATATTTTTGAAAAGCAAAAATGTACAGTGGCAGTGGAAATATATTGCTCTGAGGTTGAAAAAGTGTACAATGAATTTGAAAGACGATTTAAAGATATTCAAAAATTAGAGCCGATTATTACATTTATGTCCTTTCCTTTCTCCGAAACAAACAGTATTGAAAATATTTCTACACAAATAAGCAATTTGTTTGATATGGATTCTACAAAATTTGAATCTGAAATTATAAAAATTAAATCAGATATATTCCTCAAAGCTCGAGTTTATGAAACAAATTTTTGGAATTTACTGAGTGAAGAAAAATATCCGGGTTTGAGGAATGTAGCTTTGCAGTTACATACTTATTTTGGATCTACATATTCGTGCGAAACATCATTTTCTCACATGAAAATGATAAAAACAGAATTTCGATCTACGCACTCTGATGACCATTTGGAGCAGCAGTGGCGGCTCGTGAGGTTCACATAAGGTGGTGTACAAATAATTTTTAAGATATGTAGGTGGGAAAATAAAAAATATTAATTTTATCATAGGTATAAGTACAAATAACATAATTATCTATATATTTATATATATAAATTAATTGCTGTTTGTTAGTTACACGAATAATAATATACGTTAACGTCGGTGGTCGATAATAAACAGAAAAACGATTGTTGCTTTGAATTTAAGATAATGACTAACATTATCAGCTGATAATCGGAGTATAATAAACAAATGTGAGTAAAAATAAATCTTAATGCCGATGCCAATGCGTAACGGCGGCGCGACATAGAAAATAATTCACCGAAAACAATTTAATTGGTTATGTGCACAGAAACGAATGTGCACATAAATTCCATTAAAACGCGCGTTGCGTGTTTCGACTTGTTTTAATTTTTACATTGTACAAATGTGCACACTAGTGTGCACTACTGTACCATTATAACACACACACTGATACCGTTCCGTCGCGTACAACCACCTGCCCGTTTGGCATTCGGAAACCCCATCTAAATACTATATTAGTTTCATAATATTCTGAATTTATATTTTTATATTTTGAAAAATAATCTTAACAACACTACAGGTATTTAGTTGTATTATTATGGTTTCAATTTTTTTTGAGTTTGGGTGGGTAGTGCACGTGCACTTATATACATATCACGAGCCGCCACTGTGGAGCAGTGTCTTCGATTAGCAGTTAGCAACTATTCGCCAGATTTCGACCAATTGGTCAACGACATGCAATGTCACACTTCATCAATGGCCAGATCAACAAAATAATATGTTAATTAAACTTATCTAATTAGATTTTAGAAATTATTATTTATTATTATATTATTTTTAGTAATTAGTAATTAGTTAATAATACTTATTGTATGTTTATATGGACTTATTCAATAATAAAAACATTTTCTATAAAAGTCGATCCTCAAAGGTGAAGTATATTTTTAGTAGATCGTGACCAAAAAAAGTTTGGCCGTCCCTGGTCTAAAGTTATTATATTACTTTAAACTACGGCCTACGCTGGGCATTTTCAATTATTCCAAACATATAGGTAAATAACCATATGATCTCTTCCACGATTTCCGATAGTCGCGATAGTGATGGGTTTTGAGTAATAATTATAAAAATCATTTTGAGGTCTTTTTACATAAAATTTTATACATAAAAATTAAAAAATGTTTATATAAAAATGTTGTCATGTATACATGTCACATAAAAAATAGGAAGAGGGGCTAAGTTAAAATAAGTGCTCAATTTTTTTTTTTAGAGGCGGCAAAATTTGATTTTACCTAGTGCATTATTTTTGCTTGGGCCGGCCCTGGATGTACTTTAACTCTTAACTCAATGCGCATCATTGAGATTGTACTGAAATGATTGCAAACTTTGCTGTGCTCGTGCGTTACAGAGCAACTTTGAAAGCATCAGTCTTACATTAAAAAAAAAAAAAAAAATTAAGGCATCATCTATCAGGACGAAGGGTTCGCGAAGAGGGACGTGTGTGTTCCATTGGCTACGAATAAACATCGGCGTGCGGCCATTGTGATGCACTCGTGTGCGTCGTGCGTGCGTACATGTATGCGTATGAATAGTCACTTATAAATCCGAATGCGTTTTGCATAATATACGCTCGAGTCTCCGTGATCGGTTTGAGAACTAAAAAACACGATAAATCATACATTAAACCGTATTGAATACGGTCCTAAGATCACACGCGTCGTCGTCGTCGTCGTCATCGCTGTCGTCGCATTGTTGCAATGACTTTTTCGTGGAATATTTATATTTTTGTAGTATTATTTCACGCGATAACACAATAGCACCGACGCGTCGTCTAACCTATTATTGTAAAATATACCATTTGGGACGCTGTTTTATGGACGCGCGTTTGACACGACTCTCTAAATAATTATGATAATAACATTATTATTATTATTAAAATGCAAACGGTTTTTTTAAGGTCAACGACAACGACGACGATGGGATTCGCAGAATGTCGTGCACTGTCTTCACGATACGTGGATACTGGAGGTATTGTATATACAGGGTGGATTTAAATCAGTTTTTATTGTTCTATTAATAATGTTTCGTAAGAGGGAAGAACGTGCTACTGTACTGTTGGAACTCGTAGTAGAACATCTATAGTTCTCATATATAACTTGGGAAAATAAACCATATAGATGTTTAAATTTTAGACGACCGGAGTAGCAACAGTATATATATAAGCACTTAAAACGTCGTGGTGAACAACTCATATAATTTCAACTGAAAACAGTTAAAATAATTAATAAACCGGAACGCCGATACAATATAATCAATTTAGATACGTCTAGATACACTTTCTGGGCTAAAATAAGCTTGATCGCCATTTGACATGACGAGAAAAAAGTAAACAGACTAAAATCATTTGCGAGAATAACAACATACGAAATCGTGAGTTCGAATATTGTGATGTGCGTCGGACGTGGAAAATACTCACCCTGTATACGATGAGCACGTATCATCATATTTCTTAATATCAATAGATTATATTAAAATATATTCTTCGCATCACGTATATAATATAATGTCCACCATAAAAATGAATATGCGTTCGTTTAAGTATTTTTCATAATGCGCGGTTTATGCGTACATTTTTTGAATTTTTATGGCCCAGACGTTTTGGCAGGATATCAGCGGTCCGTTACGTTTATTACTAGGAACATTACAAATGCACAGAAACAATTCCGACGGTCATCGATGACTTTAAAGAAATTACGCTCGACTTTATTGTAATCGCGTGAAATCAATTGATGATATACATAATCTCGTGTGATTTTTGCGTTCGTCACTAATTTTATTTATTGTTCAACCGCTTCGTGGAGTGCGTGCCAGTATCGGCGATTTTAATGCTTTAAAGTGCGTAGGTACGGTTGTAAAACTCGGAGGAAAAAACGTGTTGAATTTCGACCGACAAGGACACCCGATGATAATAATATAATATAATATAATATAATAATATCTCTCTCACTCTATCTCTCTTTCTCTGGGGTAACGTACACGTCCTTTTGACGGTGTCACTAATTTTTCCGAGCTGTTCAAGTGCGTATAATAATAATTTTAGCAGACACGTTGTATTAATGAAAAAATAATAATAAAAAATTCCGCAAATAATTATATTCATCACGGTTCGCGATTTCTCCGCGGTATAATCTCATTTTACTAATGCAACGCAATAACGATAAATATTTTCAATCAAACATCGTTTCCGTAACCATGCATTCGCGTTACACTGCACGTGTTCGTTTGGAACAGCACATCGGAACAATATAATATGGAAGAAGACGATTTGAAACCGAGTTAAAAATGCAAAATTGCATCGGACCCGATCGTAAAAGCATTAAGAACCGGATGCAACCCACGATCAAGCAATCCGACCGTCATTGTATTATTGTTGCGCACATCGGATGTATTAATATTTATGAACACTTTTTATACACACTTGACACAGTACCGCGGCAGCGTGCACCGTACATACCCCGTGGACGTCGTCTACACAATAGAAGTAGGTACAACAACAGTCTCATTAGATTCGACAAAGTCAGACGTAATGCGCGGAATAATAGAAAACGCGGATGTGTGTAAATACGTATATGAAACGAACGCGTTTACCATATGACACGTGTCCGACAAGGGCGTATTTGAAGAGGAGGTGGCGAAGAGGGCATTCGCCCTTCTATGGCTCGTATTTTTTTTTTCGAATATAATACATTGATTTATTTAAAAAATCTATAAATAATTAAGAATATAAATTACTAGTCTATCGTTCGTTATAATATGTTATCATTACAACAGGAACATGAGCTGTAGGTTATTTTTAAGTTTGTATTGAAGAAAAATTAGTTTCGCCCCCTCCCCCCACCTCATGGCCATAACTCAAATACGCCCTTGGTGTCCGGAACCTTCCTCGAACCGTACAATACTGTTCGAAACAATTTTTTTAAAACAGATTTATGCACACAAATACGATGCAGATATCGCGCCACGAGTTTACTTCGAATTACACTTGCCCTCGCAACCAGTCAACAACGATAATTACGCGGCAACATTTAACGTAAATTATGATCGTGTTATAGTGTTTGTACGATCGGAAACCGTGTACCCGTGACAATATCATGCGCTATTGACTTGTTGATTTTTCATTTGAATATTTTCGCTCGGCCGCGCGTATCGGATTACACAAATGAAATCGTAAACAATAAACGTGCATTATGTAAAACGATATAGGGTATTTATACGGGTACGCGACCACGATCTACAGCGGTTTTTCGATTCACCGGTACTGGCGCGCGCGTCCGTGTAGGTAAATATGTGCACGTACACACAACCGGGCACATGTTCCGGATCAGCAGAAGGGGCCGGGGAAAATCACAGCATAAATCATTACGCGATGTATGAATTCTATTAAAAAATGGTGCGCGTACGAAACGCGTGTGCTCGTGTATCGTATCGAACGTGAAATACTGTGGCACTGTTGTCCGGCTGAATACAATGTTAAGTATAAATATGATCTACATCAAAATGCGTGTTCCCATGCTCCGGACGGATAGGATTTTATCGACCGTGCGCCACATTTGATGTACCGTACAACAAATGTAAAAGTAACGTAACAAATAAAATGATAATAATACGATTCTTGTTGGAACACGGAAACCCGGACACACGTCGTCTAATGAAAACTTATTGGTTCGATACGACTGGTAAACGATCGGAACCGTATAGTGCGGCCGGACGTGGTAGTAGTACTATTAAATCTCGCGTTGCGTTATATGTACAAAACTCTTTGTAACGCCTAGTGCATTATCCGTATTGCACGTACAGCGGACATTCGTGTTTTCAGCAGTATTAATCACGTCGTCGATCGGATAAACGATCGAGAACGGTTCGGTCGAACGAAACAACACGCGCGCGGACCGTTGCGCACATGTTATTATTGCATTTTATTTTCACCGCCGCAGTGCTACGGCTCGCTCGGACAATGTAATACAACGTGCGTGGGACGAAATGAATGATTCTCAATTAAGTCGCGTGCGTACGAATTTGTACAGCGCGTTTTACGTAGGTACTCTCGTACAAGGTGTACGGCATGCTTGCAACTACGTCCGGTTAAAGGCCAGCGATTAGAAATGCATCGGAATCGCGTAAATGACGCGCATATATTTAAAAATAAAAATAAAAAGAACGTGAAATAAAAAGAGTACAATTTCAAAACGACAATCGTACAGCATGACGTACACATTTTGCGGTGGGCCGTGTGTATTACAATTCCGATACATTACGTTATGCACTAATGTGTTGGCGTTTCGAGGTACCATTCCGGCGCGTAATCGTAACCCGAGTGATGTGCAACGAAATTAAACGCGTTTCCGTTGGGGCGGAGGAGCAGTTTCTCGTAGAAGCATCGTAATAAATACGGTTCACCCGAGTCTTTTTCTAGCCCCTTTACTTTGCGATATTCTCAACAACCGGTACATTCAAATCCGAAAAGACAATTTGGTCCAACCATTTAACCATAACAGTTCTTCGATTTTGACACCGATTGCGTATTAACCGTCATCTACCTCAATCAATCACGCGTTTTTCTTATTGTACGCTCCGCGTGGACGAAAGTGTCTCTAACTATTATCTCACACAAGCGTTCTCATTGATTGTCTCTCTTATTATCCATCTATTTAATATAATTCAACTCTCTCAATTCACGACCTATTGTAAATTTGAAAACAGACCATTAATCGATGAATAAC